GCGACGTCGTCGCCGTGAACGCGCTCCTGCTGCAGCTCGCGCAGCCCATGAACTTTTTGGGGTACACGGTGTCGGAGATCCGGCAGGGCTTGGTCGACGCGGACGCCGTCGTCAAGTTGCTCCGCGACGCGCCGGCGGCGGCGGACGACGCGCCGCCCCACGCGGTGCCGTCGCCGCCGGAGATCGCCTTTTCGGGCGTGTCGGCGTCGCGCGACGGCTTCACGCTGGCGCTGAAGAACGCGACGTTCACGGCCCCGGCCGGCGGCGTCACGTTGCTCGTGGGCGCGTCGGGGTCGGGCAAGTCGACGGCGCTGCGCCTCGTCAACGGCCTCGACGCGGCGCCGACGGCCGGCGCCGTCACCGTCGGCGGCCTCGCGCTCTCCGCGGCGGACGCGCGGCGCGCGACGGCGCTCGTGGCCCAGGACACGGCGCTCTTCGACGACACGGTGCTCTACAACGCGAAATACGGCAACGTGCTCGCGCCGCTGGACGCGGCCGTCGCCGCGCTGGCCGCCGCGGGCGCCGCGCACCTCGACCCGCGGCAGCGCGTCGGCGAGCGCCGGCGTCCGACGACCGGGGCGTGCTTTTTGCTCTGGACACACCCGTTCTCTTGATAGGCGAGCGCGGCGCGAAGCTCAGCGGCGGCGAGAAGCAGCGGGTCCTCGCGGCGCGCGCGCTCCTCCGCGACGCGCCCGTGCTCCTCGCCGACGAGCCGACGTCGGCCCTCGACGCGGTCTCCGAGGCGCGGGTCCTCGACGCCCTGCTCGGCTCCGGGCGCACGGCCGTCGTCGTCGCGCACCGCCTCGCGGCCGTCGCGCCGCGCGCGGACAACATCGCCGTCTTCCGCGACGGCACCGTCGTCGCCGAGGGCAAGCACGACGCGCTCCTCGCGTCCTGCGCGGAATACGCGCGCCTCTGGGAGGCGAAGAGCGGGAGTTCGGAGGAGGGGGAGTAATGGGTTGGGGAGCGGTCGATTGGGCACCCGTCGAGCCGCCGGCCGGGCGTGCCGTGCCGCGCGTGCGGGGGATTCGAGTAGTCCGAGCAGTCCGATCGGACAAGGGAGGGAATACGATGTCCGCTGCGACATGTCCCATCTGAAGTCGCGGTTCAACAAATTCGTGCGCGACCGCTCCATCAAGGCACACGGCAGGGGCCACCGACGCTTGTCGGAGCCGGCGGCGCAGCGACGCCAGGTGCGTCAAGGGCTGCGCGCGCGCGCAGAGGGCGCGCGCGCGCGCGCGCGCGCCCCCCGAACGACGGCGCGTCGACGCCGCAGCCCCGTAGGCCCGCAT